TAGTCTCTGACATGACAGCTATTTAAGACCACAGTTTCTTCTTTTTTTTTTTTTTTTTTTTTGAGACGGAGTCTCACTCTGTTGCCCGGGCTAGATTGCTGTAGCATCAGCCTAGCTCACAGCAACCTCAGACTCCTGGGTTCAAGCAATCCTCTACCTCAGCCTCCCAAGTAGCTGGGACTACAGGCATGTGCCACCATGCCCAGCTAATTTTTTTCTTTATATTTTTAGTTGTCCAAGTAATTTCTTTCTATTTTTAGTAGAGACGGGGTCTTGCTCAGGCTGGTCTCGAACTCCTGAGCTCAAACGATCACCCGCCTCGGCCTCCCAGAGTGCTAGGACACAGTTTCTTCTTAATAAACAACTGTCAGCCATGGACTGGTTCTGGCTGGTCTCCTGAGGATGCACAGTTCACAGACTCATGCCCTACATTTCACCTTTTACATAAAGGACTTAATTGTAATGTATTTACATATTGAATCCCCACCCCAAAGTGATAATGGGATATAGGTTACATACATGTAAACCTAATACGCATGTGTGTGGGTCTCCTTTGTAATATTCATAACTCCTCCTGTAACCTATTGAATATGTATACTTGGCCAACCCGTTCAGCATAAATTCCTGTCCTATCCCTTCCTCCCTTGAAGGGCCAGTCTCCTTCCTAGCTTATCAGGATGGCCAGCCTGCAGCTTGTAACCTTTCAGAAGAAATAACATCTCCTTTCTAAATTTACATACTTTGTGACTCTTTTTCAGTCAACAAGGTTAAGGAGAGAACCTGTTTGGAGATCCTGCAATATTCTAGGCAGAGATTACGTTTTTTTTAATTTAATTTTATTTTTTTTATTTCGGCATATTATGGGGGTACAGATTTTAAGGTTTCAATAAATGCCATTTCCCCCTCCCCCAAAAGTCTGAGTCTCCATCCATGACCATCCCCCAGATGGTGACATCTCACTATTATGTATGTATATATACCCCCCCCCCCCCCTCCCCGCTGCCCAATACCCTATTACTGTAGTACCTATGTGTCCACTTGAGATTACGTTTCTTAGTCCAGTTAGTAGAATTGGAGGAAGTGAAAAATGACCAGATTCTAGGTGTATTTTGATGATAAAGCTGTTGGAATCTGCTAATAGAATGGATGC